CGGAGCTAGGGTTTTATTTTTATTTTAATCACATAATTTGTTTCAAAAAATTAAAATGGATTGAACAACGGGCAATGCTGATATCAATTCACCCCAACTGTAGAAATCCGATCAGACTTGGTCCAGTGACTACTTCGTTTACTAAACAATTCATTAGCGTTGAATCAACATATTTTGTAATTAACACATTAGTTCGACGGGCGCTATTCTAATCATTTTTAGCATATAGAAATGTTATAAAAATTCAGAAAGCTGTATGAATTATTTTAGTCCACTAGCTATACTAAATATAATATGTGGACTTTCACACTTTTTATTGACATTTAGGATATAATGACTGCGATTTCGTCCCCCTGTTTAAAGAGGACAGTCACACGATGTTTTAGGCCAATCATATCGATAACCGCCAACGCCAAAAATACATTGTAGGCATATAGAATAAAGGCTATGGGTTCGTCCCCCTGTTTTACTTAACCAACGAGACAATCACGCGATTCGGTCAATTATATGAATAACATTTCAGACTTTTTAAACTTTATGTGCAATATTCAGTTAGAAAAAGAAACATTAAACTGATTTAAATAGTATATCAGCGGCTAAATGAATTTGATTTCACAAAAATGCGGAACTTATAGAGTTACTTGTCATCTAAAATTCAGGAAAAAAAATCGGACAATTCGCAGAAACATTTGTCCAGGATTGTGATATTGGGGCAGATAACTGTGTTTTTCTTGGATTGCACAATCACTACACAAAGTATATTATAGTAATATAGCTACGATACAATTAGGTCAGGCCTGGTCTAGTGGTTACTTCGTTGAACTAAACATTTCACACACCTTGAAAATTACTATGCCGCTCGCGGTATAAGAACCACGGACGCTATCCTGAACCTCATTTTATTCAGTTTTATTTTTAAATAAATATGTATATTACAGTAGGATGTATTTAGATATGCCTATATTTACAGTTATTTATTTGCACGGTTCGATCCCCCCCCCCCCCCCATAAGATTTAATATTCATTTAAATTTTTAATATTTCCTTCTTTTTTTTTGTCAGCTGAATCATAACAAGCGTAAATTTCCGGTCAGGCCTAGCCCAGTGGTTACTTCGTTTACTAAACAATTCATTCAGGCTGAATCAAATGTGTAATTTACACATAAGAACCATCGGGCGATATCCTAACCTTTTAAAAACATATAAAAATTCAACAAGCAGTACTCTTGTTTTAGTCCACTGCCTATATATAAAAAAAATGAGCTTTTGTTTCGACGTTTAGCTTATCATATCCGTGGGTTCTGTCCTTTGTTTTATTTAATGGACAAATAGCTAATAGGTCAATCATAATATGGACAAACAAGAACGGCAAAAATAAATTAGTCCCTTTCTTTCGAGGTTTTATGGAAAACAAGCCAAAAAGCAAAGCTATAGAAAATGAGATGTACTTGTTTATCATCAGGATTATACACATGCAGATAACTATAATTTTTAATACATTTTATCATATAATATTATTATAGCGAAAAATATAGAAATTATAGCATAAAATATAGAAATTATGGCATAAAGTATAGAATAAAAGGTAGAAATTATAGAATAAAATATAGAAATTATAGCATAAAGTATAGAAACTATAGAATAAAAGGTAGAAATTATAAAATAAAATATAAAAATTATAGCATAAAGTATAGAAACTATAGAATAAAAGGTAGAAATTATATAATAAAATATAGAAATTTGCATAAAATATAGAAATTATAGAATAAAATGTAGAAATACGTGAAGAAGTACAATATATGTGACGGTTTGTTTTCCTATTGTCTTTAATAGGTTATCAAAAATGTGTGTTCTATCCACTGATGTACATAATTTTACTAAAATTGATCACACCCTATCTTGTACCATCCTACAGTTAAGAGTGTAAGTATTGTGGGCTCTTGCCCGAATTAAACTATTACAACTCATTGTATAATTGTAGGCTAGCCTGGAGGTCGCGGGTTCGCTCCCAGTGTTGGCCGAGAAAGTTCATCGAGATTTTCCGGCATGGCTTTTCCTTGTCAGTGGTGCAGGACGGAGGGTCTGACAAGGACAGCTGTCTAGTCGTTCGGATGGGACGAAAACCAAGGACCCTTCTACACATTGGCGTGCACGTAAAATATCCCTTGACAGTTGGAATTCGATATGAGAGTAGGCCCTCGCGCCGCTGTCCGGGCAAAATTTCCCTCATAGCGCACTGTATGGCGCGTGTCCGTCTTCATTAGCCCAGTCGGAGCAGAACAGAGGGACGTTAAACTCCATTTTCATTTTGTATAATTGTAACAGCAGAGATATACATAAACAATCTTAGTAATCCATTCCTTTTCCTGGTGCTAAACTAAATCTACTTAATGTGATTCTTATTGACTCTTCATTAATCTATACTAATATTTGTGACTGTCGTTTGTCTGTCTGTCTGTTCGGGGTTGGCGGCTACATTAGGTCGGCCCGAGTCTGAAATTTTTGGTATAGGGGTAGCTCGGACCGGGGAGTAACATAGGCCAGGTGGCGTTAGTCTACCACTTCCGGTTTCGGAGTTATGGCCCCCGAGCGAAGCCGGTCTGTTCGGGGTTGGCGGCTACACTAGGTCGGCCCCGAGTCTGAAATCTGGGGTGTAGGGGTAGCTCGGACCGGGGAGTAACATAGGCCAGGTGGCGTTAGTCTACCACTTCCGGTTTCGGAGTTATGACCCCCGAGCGAAGCCGGTCTGTTCGGGGTTGGCGGCTACACTAGGTCTGCCCTGAGTCTGAAATTTGGGGTATAGGGGTAGCTCGGACCGGGGAGTAACATGGGCTAGGTGGCGTTAGTCTACCACTTCCAGTTTCGGAGTTATGACCCCCGAGCGAAGCAGGGTATCCTGCTAGTATATATATATATGAGCGACTGGAATTTATTTACACGTATATAGCTTAAACTGTTTGAATGGCATTTAGTAATTGAACACATTAAATTAAACCCAACAGTTCTATGGATAACAATTACTGATATTTCTAATCAAGTTGCGTTCAAAAAATGATTTTCTTGTCGTTATCAAGCACAATGTATTATGAGAACTGACAGAAAGGCGGGACCCTCTAATATATATGCATGATTATACAGTTCATTACATATAATAGTCCAGTCAATCTAGCTGAAAAAAGGGCCCAACCCAAAACAAATTGCAATTTCTTTTGGTGGTATGCATTTCAGTAAGGTCTCCTGCACATCATACTAAAAATGTTCCAAAATATTTTTGGTGGAAAGGAGTCAAATTGCGTAATATGCTAATTAGCATAATTTCATGTTTCAAAAATTGACTTAATGCTATAACTTGGCTATCAAATGTTCAAATTTGGTGGAAATGGTGTCTAAACCTATGTTTTCGTGGCCAGGTAAGCAAATAAACAGATATAGAATGTAATAACTTAATTACATGATTCACAATGCAAATTAACAGCCGCCATGATTGAAAAACTTATTTTCCCCCCTAAATCTGAAACTGTTTAAAGGAATACGTTATTATTAAGAAATTTCCTGTCATTCGTCATTCGGTTGTCTACAATTGTTACCCCGTAGTATATAGTAATGTAGCTACGACACTTTTATTTTGTTCTTGTTTCGCGACATAAAAACTACGGACGCTATCCTGATCTCAGTTTTATTCCAAGCATTCTGAGACAAGAAATATGGTAATGAAATACTCTGATTTTGTAGTGATAACTTGTGATTTTCTCCTGAATGCACAACAACTCAAGACAGTTTAGTGAGTTTATGATTTATGATGAAGCAAAGACAAGAGACATTGAGAGATATGCAACTAAAACTTCAAGATTTAAAAGAGTACTTTTTGTGCGACTTCTCGGATTCTAATAATCTGCGAATTTTTAATATAGGCCTATACTTGTGAAACTCCTGACACGAATATTTAATGTTTAATTTAATTTTCCGGCGTGGTTTCCCCTTGTCAGTGGTGCAGGACGGAAGGCCTGACAAGAACAGCTGTCTAGTCGTTCGGATGGGACAAAAAACCGAGGTTCCGTGTATAAATTGGCGTGTTCGTAAAAGATCCCTTAGCAGTTGGAATTAGATAGCACACTGTATGGCGTATGCCCGTCTTCATTAGGCCAGTATAGGAGCAGAACAGAAGGACATTAAACCCCATTTCATTTAAATTTCCCATATAGGGGTCAGCCCGTGTCAAATCACCAATTAAAACGGTAAAATTTACTCCAACCGTCTCATATTTTGATGAAAATTGGAATACATGTTTGATTAGCAGCCGCAAGACGATATTTCAAATTTCAGCTCGATCGGAATTGTACTCTAGGAAATATGGTGCGTGAAAATATGACATTTTCCACAAAAACAGGTGTGGCCGCCACACTTTAGACTCCCCACATTTCGGCAGCCAATAGGCCAATTCTCATTCAAGTAGACTATCGAGACTATAGATTCACACATATTACTGTATAGAAATCTTTGATGTGAGCAATTGCGGGACATTTTGGCTTGTATTGAAGAATAGAAGCATTTTGAGAGGCTGTCCCGCAATATGCCGGATGGGTGGTCACCCCATCACTTATTGAATTTTGTTTTCAATAATATAGAAGATAGTCTTGTCAAAATCACTGACTTGACTGAAGTGTGTGTGCGCTGGCTTGATATAACTTCCTGTGTTACGGACAGATTTCATATTTTTGATGAGTTTATTTATCACCGTCGAGTTAGAAATAGGTCAGTTATAGTATAAATCTTCATGTACACTTACATAATACATATAAATATATGGATAAATAAATGAATTTCAGTTCAGCGTTGAAGGCAAAAGAATGTTAGTTTCACAAATTATAATATGTAACGAATTTTTCTCCTTGCTAAATTTTACCAAATAATTAAAGAAGTGCGTAATTATTTTGGATAAAACGGCCATGCGTGAGAAACAGACAATTAATTAATCGCTGCATAATTATCATCCACAACATCCTGGTTGATAACATTTTATAACATGCAATAAATTTAGTAATGGAGTAGACCTGGTGTATTCTCCATAAACATGTTACAGTTCAAAAGCTTGGCCGTGTTGTTTTATGTGATACTACCGGTCTCGGGTAAGTTTGTTGTTTGATCAACTGAAATAATGTGAGTTTTTAGATATTAAATTTGAATAAACTACTTCATATCAACAGGTTTTGTCTCATTTTTGGGGCAATGGGTGGCTTATTGAAGTAAAATTTCTTGTAGTTTTGTTGAAACTAATATCTAAATAATAATGACAACACTAACTGCAAAACTCAAGCTTAAAACCACATCCCCAATAATACGTGTGTCCATGAAACGTGTGACACGACGCTTATTCATTGTTTCATATAATCTATGATTTAAAAAAAAACAACTAAAAAAAAAACCCCAAAAACCCCCAAAAAACACACGATGTGCGGTATATGACTTCCCCGTCCAACAAAACGAAGCCTTTTTGAACTGTTGTCGCCTCTTGGCTTAACTCTCTTGCCCACTACAAGGTCATTATGAAAATATGAGTGAATGTGCCAAGAAGCTTTATGAACTGTAGACGGCATGACGTCATTTTAAAATTATGACGATTGAAGGCAGTGACTAAGAAGCTAAAAAAGTGGTGCCAAAAACTAATCGGACCGCACCATCGATCAATCCTCCTTGTTTGTTGGCTTTAATCCTCAGTTGGACAGAAAACCAGTTAACCCTACTGGTGACCAAAAAGTAATGATATTTCGGACACTTTATTTTGTTGACTAGAAGGCAAAGTGATTTTTTTCACAAGAAATTTTATATTTCTTATTTTTTGTTTCACATAGTCCGTCAACCCGGAACAGCCAGGCATATTATCAACATAATTACAGACGCTGTTTTGGATTAACCAATATGGTGTCGATGACTTCGCCAAAATGACATGATGCCGCCTCCACTTCTTGGAATATGCTCATGATCATTCATTATCCACACCAAGTATCACAATTTACAAAATAGCAGATTATTATAGTCTATATTCTTATCTTTAATAGTATGTTATGGAGTTTTTTGTGGCGGTAATTACTTTCATACGGGTAGATGTTGTATAGTTGTGTGGAAGAGCTATTGTTGCGAAAAAAGGTAAATACAATGATTTTGTTGTACGTGTGTATGCATTGACACTATACCATGACAAAACGACCAGTCGGAACAAGACCCATCGGACCAGTTGATAGACGTAAGCTATTGAACTGTTGAATGGATAGACGTAAGCTATTGAACTGTTGAATGGTTTTAGGGAAAAGAGTTTTTTGTTAAAATTAACCGACAAGGTAGTACTTTTTAATCATTACAGTATCTGAGATTATAATTATTGCTTTTATAACCTATTATCCGTTAAAGATAAGAAACTCGTGTAATATGCCTAATCGTTTAATCTTTCTGAGATGATGTAATCTAGTTCATGCAGTTTTAAAATAAAGATATTCGAGAGATGCATAAATGACCAACTTTAGTTACTGTGCGGGCAGTTTTAAGCTACAATTTCTCAAATTTTTCTGGATTATAATTTGAACAGCTGTTCCAAACTTCTCAGCCAGACGCAAGAATAGGTAAAATATACCATTTTTATAATATATTTGAAATGGATCGTGTAAGTTGAAATTCAGCTCTACGTAATGCTGGGTTCTCACTGTCGTGCGATGCGTTACGATAGGATTGTCCCTATTGAGTCCACGATCTGGTACGTGAAGATACGTTCGGATACGTGTCGATACCATCAACACGATTGCCACGACTGATCTCAATATATGATTAGGCCTGAAAGGATCACCACGATTACTCCTCGACTAAAACCACGATTTCAATCAAACGCGAATCGTGATAGTGGGAACCTAGCGTAAGTGATTAAGTTTAAAAGAAGCTTCTTTGATTATAGATTAAAGGAGCTAAATCGCTAATATTTGGGACCTAGAAATTGACACAAATAGGAAGCAACGCATATAATAATGTAATATGAATGTATATAAACTGATTTACATTCAATCGTTTCTGTGTTTAGTGTAATTTCTAATCAGCAATGTTTGGCGAAATTCGCCCAAGTCTCAATTAAATGACAATCTGGTTATTTAGCGTCTGGTTATTCCAGTTTACACCGATGGTATTTATTGCGCATGCTCTCCAGATAAGAATATAGCATCCCCATTTGACATGGCTTGTTCCAAATTGCGCTGAAACACCGTATGGTACACGATTCGTGTACCGATGGTAAAATGTTTATTTTGTCTTGAATATTGGATATCAGAAGCCCGACTTTTCCCTGTAAGATCACAAGACCAATGTTGATTTGAATTGACAAATAATTCGTGTTTTCAATGTCGAAGATTTTTGATGATATTGAATTAGAGACTTAATTACTTTAAACCTTTAAATTGATCAGATACATCGCAAAAAAAAAAGGTAGAAGACCAAGAATAGAACTAATATTGTTTATTTGAGAATAAACCGATGTTTTAAACGACATTAATGGCAAGACTGTCCATCAACTTCACTCGTGACAATCTGTCACAAAACATGAATGTACATGTATAGCCCAGAGTTATGTAAGGATTACAAGTAAGCGCCCGAGGCAGCTCATCATATCCAAGAATATGCACAACATAAACCGACCCAAAATGGATTGCTTGATGTTTAGGGGAAGTTAAATAAATTTTTTGGGCAAATGTATTGTTTTCCTTAGTGGTAGTTAAATTTTCCTGGCAAATGTATTGTTTTCTACGAAATTGAGAATTCTAAATAAAAATTGGAAAAAGTTTTTAAAATTGGAAAATAAGGAAAAGCAAATTGTAAGAAATGGTTCGAATATGGGCTTCCGTAGTTTTTAAATAATGCGTCTATAAAGATTTATAAGACTGTGCGGGCAGCCATACTCAAGAACTGGTAAAATATAACATTAATATAATCTATTTGAAATGGATCGTGTAAGTTGAAATTAAAGATTCAATATAGAAATTCCATATAAGGTCATCCTATATTCCTAGATGTTTATGAAACGAAGTCGTATATAGATACGTACTTTGAAATTCAATAGTGGAGATGATTAATCCAGTTTTTTCAAGATTAAAGGTCATTAGCCATTTATTAGTTCAGAAATAATCCGTAGTTGTTTAAATCTCGCGTCTTTCAAAACTCCTAAGTCTTACATACCATCCGAATGATTACCCACTGTTCCCTGCCAGGACCTTCATCTTGTACCACTGAAAAGGAAAAATCACAATCAGACTGGAAAATCCAGCGGACCCTTCTCGGCCCACGATGGTTTCGAACCCGTGACTTTCTGTCTTACCGATTGAAGACCCAGAGAACATTCTGCACTTTTTAACACATTTTGGTCTATTTCTCATCAGCAACTCATATTTTGCCTTTTTCAGAGCTCAGTGCATAATGCTTCCCAACAGACCAAATATTAAACATCCTATAGTCATTAAGGCCCCGAAATAATTGCGATTTTGTAGTAGCTTTGCTGTCACTAGCTATTTGTAGAAGCGCCCTTTTTGGCAGGGTCCCTATGTTACAGAACTGTTCGTAATCTGCTGGATATGGCGCTGGGAGACCTATCAGACAATTGGAATATGGTGTCATGAAGATAAACACTCTGGTTTGATGAGATTCGCATTCTATTGTTTATGTCGGATGGTAGAGCTCTAGTATGGCGACGCAGGAACATGGCATGTGAACAGAGGAACATCCTTCAACGGATTCCGCCGACTCTATCATGCTATGGGGTTGCCTTTCATATGAGTGTAAACTTTCACACAGTTAGAGGTAATCTTAATATTCAACGGCATCACAAAAAGATATCCTAGACAGGGTTGTAGTGTCCCACTTTGACAACCATATTATTTATCACAATGTTAATAAGACCACACCGGGGATTTGTGATTTTTTTTCTCTGTATTATTAAGTTTTATAGTAACACGTTTATTAATATCATAAATCCATCTTTCTTTCAAGTACGACAACCAGTTACTCAACCACGACGATTTCTACCAGGACATTTTATCCAAGTTTTCCTAGAAGGACACCTTCTCCACCTTTATCCAGAAGGACTCCTGATATTCCCATTATCCCAATATGTATAGGGGGTATGGTTTTGGCAATAATTCTCTTTATTTGTACTAGTGGTAAGTGCAACCGGCTCTATATTGTAAATTTTAGTTGTGTATATATCATTTTCAACTTTTCACTTTAAAGATGCATTTTGCAAAAAAGATAAATCTGCCTATTGCAGGTCTTTCTTTAGGTCTTAAATGTTATATAACTTATTAATTAAGACATTTATTAACTTGCCAAGACCATAATCAACGTGTCACATTTGCTCTTGCGTGACTCATATCTACGTTTTACTTCAAATACCGGCTTACAGATGTACACATATGATATTCCTATCCCTTCTAGATTCAGATACCTTTATGCCTAACACTACCATAGCCGCAAGAACTTATTGAAGATAATCCTCTCTTCTAGCTTCTAATAGACTTCTATAGTCAAAATTTTCTCTGGCCTCTTGAATATCAAGTTAATGTCGGTCGCAAATCGTTTTAGATCGGTTTCACCCAAAGTGTCGATATTTACACCAGGTACAATATTGGCCAATATCTTGCGGGTGAACGCATTTAGAAATTTATTTGCAAAGGGTTTAGTTTCCCGTTCCACCTTATTCTCGACATGTTAACAGACCTGTTGCCAACTCGAATGTTTCAGACTAAGTGACGTAATACAGTTGGGATACTTCCCTCTTGTGGCAAGGGCCGATAATTCGGTGAATAGTTCAGATGAAGAGCCAGTGAGATCTTCTACAAAGTGAAATGGGAACATTTCAGATGTATGTAGATCATGCATAGTAATATAATCGGATACATGGGTTTCGAAATGGTTGGTTTGGATCTAGCGCGTTGCAAATGGGCATATTATTATTAAACAAATATCAATATGTTTTCGAGATAATGGCAGTAAAACTCCTCCAGACACATATTCTTATATTTTACAGTTGGTAGATGTGGGCAGGCCAGGCAGGAAACACCAGGATCAGATAGTACCAATCACATATCCTCTATATCTGGGAACACGGAGTCTAGTGGTGGTTTCTTTGCGTGGTCTTTAAACAGCGGAAACGATGACAGTGGGTTTGGGAGTTCAAGAAACGACGACAGCGGTTTTGGGTTTTCAAGCAACAATGACAGCGGTTTTGGATTTTCAAGCGGTAGCCATTTTGGGAGTTCAAGCAACGATGACCACGGTATTTCATCTTTCGGCGATTCAGATTAAGAATAAAAAAGTGAAAACACAACACTTAAAGGTGCGTCACTCACATTTTCACAAAAATATCAAATTTCTCACGGCTTAATCCATGCTAAGTATGAACTCAGATTGATAATTGAACTTTTAATTAAGAAATCAAAATATCAAACCCTATATAATCTTCGGCTACCAATAAATATGGCTGATATTCTTGTTAGTGATTAACTTTTCGTAATATTGTAGTTTGCAATCGATGAATAAAGTGCTAAATGACGCATTAGGCCTCTAACTTGTTGATTTTGTGATGGTAATTTATACACCGGCATATATTTATTGTTATTTGCCCGATTTGTCACAGATTGTCATCGACTTTTCAGGAATGGTTAGTATTGGGGTGAAGCTTTTTCATTAAAGTAGTTCCATGAGTCACGGCCTCGAACTTTACCGTGCACATACTCATTCTCCATGACTCAGTAAACTGAATCTGACCTAACAGTAGGCCAAAGACTACATGGCATGTACATAATTTGTCTCCTGCAAGACCGAGTTACAAACATGAACACATATCTTGGAGCGTAATGTTATGATATACTGTATATTTCATTTTCAAAAATAATTATGGCATAAAAACCTGACAAGTTTTTGTATTGTATTTAAAGGAGCTCATAGAAATCGACACAAATGGGTAACAACGCATATAATAATGTAATATGAATGTATATAAACTGATTTTCATTCAATCGTTTCTGTTTTTACTGTAATTCTTAATCAGTTATGTTTGGCGAAATACGCAGATTTCATCTTTTTATACTATAAAAACATATAAAAATTCAGCAAGCTGTACAGTTTTAGTCCATTTTTTAAAAATTAAATGGGGACAATCACATGATGTTTTAGATCAATCATATGGAAAACCAGGTAGGTCAAAAATAAATTCAACTTCATGTAAATAAATGGTCAGAAAGTTATCCCAAGCAGCACACGTCACTCAGGTTATTTTTTTTTAGGGCAAATGATATTTAATAACGGTTGAAGCAACAAGCAGAATCAGTCGATAACGTGGCACTCCGGTGGAAACAAACGTGATAACCTACTATGTTCAACTTATTCCCGACTAATGTTTTAGAGCAATGACTAAATTGCCACAGGTAACGTCTAAAAAATTAAATTAAGCTACTGGGGCAACAATACAGTATTTGCGTAGGTGAAGAGGATAACAAGAAAGCGAAGACTCCAATGACGAAGAAAACAATACCTATGAACATCTACAGCCTTTTCTAAAGATTTTAAAGGTCAGACTTTCCCTTTCGAACTAAAAGATGCGGTATAATCACAGTTATTGAGTGCTTCGTTTCCACCTAAAGACTCTGATGACGTAGCTCCAAGATTCGAAATGTGTGTTGCTATAAACAGCTCTAAATCTCAGGAAATATCATCGTTTGTATTTAAACCAAGTTCGTTAAAACAAATTAGAAAGACACGAATTGAATGACTATTGACCCATCTTTGTCGAGCCGAGATCGAAGTATGGAATGCACTGGACTGATCCCTGTTCTTTGGCTAGAAGCACATCTGCGTTAAGTGTCTGTTCGAAAGTTAAATCTACAGCCATTCTTGAAAAGGGCTTCCCGGTTCTTTTAAGAGCAATCTGCCCTTTCCGGAATTCACTGTCAAAGTAGGTATTGGTATACTTAAGCTTCAATAAGTTGCCTTAAAAGTGAATTAACCACCAGTTAATTGGTTAATTGTAGCAAGCAGTATAATTCATAATTTGACGGTTGTGTGGACAAACATTTAGCAAAGGATAACGTAACTCAAGTTATAGTGTATTAAAATTGTGTAGTGTATTGAATTCAATAATTACATAAAGCCCCAAAACTTTTGGTTCGATTTCTGAAATTTATATTTTTCAAATGTGGATCTTTGTTGCTGTTAAGTTAAGTTTCAGCCATGTAACTGATGACCATATTATTAGCCCCGTGATGAGATATTGAGCGTGGTTTGACCTGGGGAAAGCCCCTGAAATTTTGGTTAGATTGGCGAAATATTTACTCCAGCTATGGATATCTTTACTTCTAAAAGGTTTCAGCCATGTAACATATGACCTAATTTTGGGGTACTTGAAGGTGTTGCTGTGGCCATATGCCCCAGCAGTTGATTTTTACTTGTATGGATACGCACTACAAATTGTTAGGGTTCAAACCTTTTGTGACATATGACCATAATCATGTCATTAGCTTCTGGACAAAAATATGTTGCTCTTCTAAACCAAGTCATAAGCTCTTCATCTTATGAGGCGACGGTAGTTGAATGGTTTAATGCCTGCGCGTTAGATCAGAAGGTTTGTCATTGAGTCAAGTGGCTTGGTTTTGATTCCAGAGTAGGACCGCCTGATTCGCCTCATTGGTTTTCTCCGTTTTCCTGTCACAGCTAAAGAATCCTACACGCAAGCGAACTATTGAAGTAAAAATAAACCATATTTCAGTCCCGAAATGACCTAGTTTGTGTCGAATGGGCGTTAAACCCCATATCTCCCCTCTCTATCTCCCTCTCTCTTTTGTGGAGTAGTGCAAGTCCCAAAGCTTGAGCATGGAGGGAAAAGAAGGCAAGTTTGGTGCAACTTCGTCCGGTATTTTAGCAAATTCATCTTTGTAGATCAATTTCACAGGTTTCATTTCTTCTCGTGGACATTTTCTGGGGCTATCTCGAGACAATTTGGTTTCACAGGGTTAATTACGGTTTCTTTTTATAACAATCACAAGTTTTAAATATCAAGACGTTTGACCCAGGTAGCATTTACAATGTTCTGACACTGAGTCAACAACTCGGCGTAAAATGGTGATAGACTCAAGGCATTAATATGGTTTCATTATGACAGAAAGCTCAAAATCGTATACATAATTAAATAGGAAGGGGAGTGTGTGGATAGGCAGGCATTATGGAAGACAACATTTTCATAGGGCCACTCACAGAAGTGAAAACCGCGGGTAGTCTCTAGTGATCAATCAATGAAAATGACATATTTGGGACTCTTTGTATGGGGCATGTTTGTGAAAGAAAAAGCGCTACAAGATTGTGCGTAGTTAATGAAGCCTATTATGAACATATTTCATTTATTATTACACCTTACTATAGTTGCGTGTCTCAACTTAATGGCGAACTGAGCACAATCCCCCAATCACATGAGTACAATATGTTTTCAATCAAGCATAGTAACATTGTTACAAATTGTTCGACACCTACTTCAAGTACAATATGAAAATCCGGTTCTACATAGAACATTCACTAGTGGTGTCACTGCTCTATATTTAAAACGAATTATTGACCGTCTACATATCCTGGTTAAAAAGATATACACATGTAGTTCTAGGTGATTGGGCTTTCTCAAAATAAAGTATGAAAATGTTGCAGTAAATTAACCTGTAACGTGGGTTTTTTTTATCTATTGTCAAATGTTGTATTAATGAATAAAATGGGTATTTACAATATCCCGTCTTATTTAATGCCATCGGGGACTCATGGTGGCTCAGTAGGGTACTAGCTCTCTAATCAGAGAGTGTGGGGTTAGATCCCGGTGTTGGCCAAAAAAGCATCCTGGGATTTTCTAGTGTTGTTTCCCCTTGATAAGGCACATTGTCTAGTCGTTTAGGTGGAGCAAAAAACTGAGGTAAAAGAACCCTTAACGGTAGGAATTCAAATGCTGTGCTTGCAAATTTCCCTTATAGCACACTGTGTGGCATATATCTGTCTTCGTTATCCCGGTTGAACAAACTATAATTCACTGATTGGAAAAACTATTTTTAGTATAATGTATTATATGAAAGTACAGCCTTTCAAAGAAAATTCACTACTGGTGTCACTGTTTATTTGATCAAAAGAATAGTAATTATCATCCACAATATCCTGGTTGAAAAATACTTTATAGCATACATTATATTTAGCATTAGAGTAGATCTGTTGTGTTCTCCCTGATAGCATTAACATGTTACAGTTAAAATACTTGACCGTGGTCTGTTATGCGATATCAGTCTCAGGTAAGTTTGTTGTTTGAAAAATTGAAATAATTTTTTATCTTTTTTTAAGATAAAATTTAAATAAACTACTTCATAACATAAACAGGTTTTAATTCAATTTTAGGAAATGGATAAAATTTCTTGGAGATCTGATGAACCTACATGTATTTAAATGATAATGCCATCATTAACTTCAAATTTCAAGGTTAAAATTACACCCCACATCAATACGTTTGTCCAAAACATAATAACAGAGACTTTTGGCAAACGGAATTTTCACCATCCGTATTACGCATCAATGTAGTTTTAGGGTTTTGACAGATTTTCTCGCCACGTAGCTGAGCAGAGTTTAGTTATATTACAGCATGATGGCAATTATCTACCAAGATCACCATCAGTACTAGTCAACTGCCTAGCCTACAAATTCCTGGAAGGAGTAAAGTCGCTCGACAATCACCGAGCTATTAAATAAGATTTAATGTCGAATCTCCTTAAAAATTTGCGACTTCGACTCGACAGCAATTTTTGGTTTCATTCATGTATCATTTCAGAAAGTTTATACACCTTTACCAAAGAATCACACCATTGACTGATTTGCAAAGCCCCACCTCCCTAAATTTAGCACGTAGATCACCCAGCATGCAGACAGACAGGAAAAATATGAAAATTCAGAGAAAAAACTCATCAAAAATAATGATTAAATTCCAGTCTTTATCATGGTTACAATCACTGATAAGCGATACGGACCAGGATTTACGCATTCCAAAAGTCTCTATTCCCCAATGTTCCTGAAGCAACGATTGTGAGTTTTACTACATCTGGACGTTGCTAGATTACTTTGCATTTCCCGAACTTATAGCTACGTTTTCTCTTTACTGCAGACATGTGAACAGTAGCGTCCAATCAGAAGTTGTGGCACTAAAACAATTAAATCAACTATAGCGTATACCCGTCTTCGTTATCCCGGTTGAACAAACTATAATTCACTGATTGGACAAACTATTTTTAGTATAATGTATTATATGAAAGTACAGCCTTTCAAATTAAATTCGATTATAAAATGTGGGCAGTCCAGATGGAAAGCGCGAGGAATCTGACAGGCTCACAAGCTGGGTGAATACCCAATCGAAATTAGTACCGAAATATTCAGGGTATTCCCTCAGAAAGTCTATAATATAAAAAAAATGGCATATATTATGAAAATTTTTTACAGTGCTAGGTTTAAAATGTGCATTTTGGACTGCTCAAAGCCCTTACTTGAGAGTTAAAAGGGCGACGATTATAAACAAAGCGACAAAACAAACCTTTTTGAACTGTTGTCGCCTCTTGGCTTAACTATCTGGTTCCCACAAGGACATTATGGAAATTTGGATGATTATGCCCATGATCATATAAACCACACCATGTATTATGGCAATGAGATTTATCCCATAATGCCCTTATGTAACACGTGCAAACTTGTGTATAAAAAAGACTTGACTACATTGACTACAGTGGTGGATTTGGTTAGTACCTATTTTAAACGATCGTATATTGGTATCCTTACTAAATACACACATTGATCTGTCTAAATTAGTTATAAAAATACAACATGACAGATTGTTATTGTCTCTGTTCTTATCTTTAATAGTATGTTATGGAGTTTATTGTGGCGGCTATTACTGTTCTACAGGTAGTTGTTGTACTAGATTTGTGTGGGAGAGCTATTGTTGCGAGAAAAGGTAAATACAATGATTTTGTGTTTTGTTGTTGTACGTCTGTATGCAGTGACACTATACCATGAGTGGGATAATCAGACAACTCAGACAAAAGACCAGTTGACAGGCGTATGGGCTCGATGACTGTTAGAGGGGCAGAACCCAAAATGCCCGAAACAATTTCGGGTTACAGACGACGGCGCCGATCTTCTTCGGCGAAGCTGGTCGTATAGTCCGCGAATAGAGCAACTTCAAATTGGTCCGATATTGCTTAATTTAGGTGGGTGACTCAAATTCCAATCAACCAATCATACGAGTGCAGTCCATGGAGATGGAACAGCCTGGCGAAGATTTTGAAAATTTAACTGTTGCAAACGCGTTTCCTTCTATTACAGCCCATGATTACAGGAACTTCAATGTGGTCCAATATAGGTGGCTAACCTGAATCCGAAACAACTAATCAATCGTCACGGCGTATGGGGGCCTCGCCCTCCCAGAGAAAATTTTGAAAATTTAACCACCGCAAAAGCATTTTTCTACTATTAAGCAACTTCAAATTGTCCAATCGTTTTGTAACCGAAATCCCACCGACCTGAATTTCAACCACCCAATCGGAATGTATCAGCTGCATTCACAAATAATAAACGATGCCCGAAAAAATTCACACAAAGAAGAGTGGCCCCAGACAAAATGTTTTAATCCGTAGTCTATTCAGTGAAAGTCGTGGTATTTAAACATCCACACACACACACACTCTCTCATTGCCCCTGCCTTCAGTGCTAGTTGATAGACAATTTAGAACAAGACAGATGACCTCTCGGACCAACATTATGCTTTACTAATACGTTTCATAATTAAATATTATGGGGTTGCGGCCATTCCAATGACTAAGAGTTAAAATCTATACAAATTGCAGCTCCTCGCATAAAGCTTCCCTAGGGTCCAAATATTTATCATGCTATAGTCAATAAGGCTCAGTGTAAGCGCCCCATTTTATTTAGCAGGGTGTCCAATACGCCAAACATCTATTGGGTTTATATAACACCATAGAATGTTAAATATTTAGTTCCTTTTGAAGCTTCGGAGAGTCAATGATGGTGTAAAATATGAGTTGTCATGATGAAATGGAATTTAAAAAAGCCGTTTTGATAATAAAATGCGCTGAAAACTTACCATAGTGAAACTCAACCTTCTGGAAGATGAGCTAGAGAGAATGCAGTACTCTTGAGACACCAAGCACTATGTTGAAAGAGAAATGGTTACCTCACCGCCCCCTATCTTACAAAACTCTTCGTTATCGACTGGATATGGCACTGAGAGGCCTATCGGATTATTGAAATATGGCGTCGTGACGGAAAACACCTTCTCTAGGAGATTCGCATTATATTGGTCATGTCGGATTGTATGGCGACGTAGAAGCATGTCATATGCACAGAGGAACATTCTTCACGAAAATTGGGTGCCTTTCATATGACTGTAAACTTCAACTGGTAACAGTTAGAGGTTATCTTAATGTTCAACATCATCGCAAAGAGAGATCCTAAGACAGGTTTATAGTGTCCCACTTTGCCAATCACCCTCTTCTCACAAGGTTGATCTTTATCTACGACAACGTTAGACCACGCCCCGGTTTTGTCACATTTTTTCTCTGTATTAATAATTTTTTTTTATAGTAACACGTTTATTAATACCATACTTCTATCTTTCTTTCAAGTACGACAACCACGACGATTTCTCCCACGCCTTTTTATCCAAGTTTTCGCAGCAGGACACCTTCTTCAAGTTTTTCCACAGAGACTCCTAGTGTTCCTCCCGTTCTCCCAATATTAGTTATATTTTTTGCGGCAGTATTTACCATTATTTGTCTCTGTGGTAAGTGCAACTGGCTCTATATTATAAAATACTAGACTTTTCAAAAGAGAGATTTTTATTGTAAATTTTAAAGGAGCTAAATCGCTAACATTTGGGACCTAGAAATTGACAAAAGTGGGTCGCAACGCATATATAATACTGTAATATGAATGTTTATAAACTGATTTACATTCAATGGTTTCCGTTTTTACTCCCAATTTCAAATCAGTTATGTTCGGCGAAATAAGCCAGCAGTCTCAAGCGAGTGCAAATTTCTAGCGTCTGGTTATTCCAGTCTACATACGCCGTTTGATTTGGTGCAATGTGTCTAGCCTCGTCTCTTGATTCAACTGGGGCTGAAGCGCATTATGGTACACGATTCGTGTACCAATGGTAAAATGTTTATTTTGTCTTAAATGTTGGATATCAAAAGCCCATCTTTTTCCGGTAAGATCACAACATGAATGTTGATTTAATTTGACAAATAAATCGTGTTTTCAATGTTGAAGATTTTGGATGATATTGAGTTAGAGACTTAGTTACTTTAATTGCATATATTTCACATTTGTTTAGAAAACAGTAGACTTCGTGTATTCAATCTGTAAGCGTTTTCTCGTAGCTGTAATACTAATAATTAGCCGGGTGTTGCCCAGTTTTAATTTACAATCGATCATGTAAAACCTCTTTGATTGGTATTTAATAATTGAACATATTAACACAAGGTACAATTTTATGGATACACAATTACTGAGTTTAATACTATGGGACGTTTTGACGAGGATGCTCTCGTCTTTATCAAGCAAATGAAAACGATGGAGATCAGATTTCTTGAAGATATCTCTTTTGCTTATGACATTTAGTCAACATCCAACATGAGTTTAGGCTCGAGTTCTGATGAATGACGGGGAGATCTTCTCCAAAGTGAAATAGGAACATTACAGATGTATGTAGATCATGCATAGCAACATACCCGGAAGATGTATCATACATGGATTTGGAAATCGTTGGGTTAGGGCAGACATTCATATCCTTTAATTAACAAAATATGTTGCGACCTTTACTGGATTTATTATTGCAAAACTCAAAATCGATTCGTGTTGTGCAGTGCTAACTTAAAGTGAATCATATATGAGAAATGAAGAGTTTAGAGATACGTAGATAATAACCACAATATGCATTTAGATCTAGCGCGTTACAAATGGACATATTGTTATTAAGCAAATAACATGTTTTCGAGATAATGACAGTAAAGGTATTCCAAGCACACATTCTTATATTTTACAGTCATGGGTAAGAGTGGGCAGGTGTCAGCATTAGACTCGACTAGCCAAGAAACGCCAGGATCAGACAGTACCAATCACGTATCCTCTACATCTGGGAACACGGAGTCTAGTGGCGGTTTCTTTGGGAGTTCAAGCAACCATGACAGTGGTTTTGGGGTTTCAAGCGATAGTAATTTTGGGACTTCAAGCAACGATGACCACGGTATTTCATCTTTCGGCGATTCAGATTCTCTAGGGTAAATTTCTTCACCGATTTCCATCAATATTTTATTCAATAAACTGAATCTGGCTGAACAATAGGACAAAGACTATATAAATCCTCTACCAGACAGAGTTAAAACATGAACACACATCTTGGAGCGTAATATTATGATATATGTTGCATTTTCAAGATTATTGTATTTAGATGTATATTAAAATGTTAAAATCATTTGCTATGTTTTAATTATTTTTGGACGATTTCGAATATTTTTTTTTTTAAAAAAAAAGGACAGTCTTTTTCTGAACCTCAATAGGGTAGCAACACTAATCGACCAAAAACGTTGCAACAAATGACATACGACTTAATTGACTAAAGTATTTTTTTGTAGATAAACTTCCAAAGAAAAGAGAGCAAAGATGTCGGACAAGATGACTGACACATTATTTTAAATACAGCGTCATTAAAATAATTTTCTCGTGGTCTGAATCCTCTCTTGTTTGATTGAATCCCATTTCTGACGCGAGTGCCAATTCATTAATAATTATTTATACCATGTTTAATTAGTCCCTTAGTGATACTGTTCGATTGAATTATGAGATAATATTGGGGCAATGGTGTCTTATAACTTAAGTCATTTAGGCCGGATATTTATTTTTTAAATAGTAAATTCTATCTGTATATCAATTGTATTTAGAATTAGATAGCATTTTAGACAAAAGCAACAAAATTACCGAAGAAAAAAAATAACTCAGTCAGGACCGGAATCGAATCCTTGGTATAAAAATTATAACCATTAATGAAATATTAAACATAACACAAAATAAAATATCAGTCATAATCCTTTGTATGATTTTGATAACAGTTAGAAAAGGTCATATTATATGTTCAATTCTTTTAAATTGTTTAGTAACGAAGTAACCAATATACAGGTCTTTGATAGTGAAATAACTTACACATGATTAGCTTTGTATAAGTGTTTGAATCAATATACATTACGAACAATAGAATTCTATTGGGTGTATTACATATAACCCACAGATCATATTTTACTATATACAACTGGCGGTAGTTTTTTCTTTGATGTCCATAGCAGTTATATCTCATAACAACCTGTCATGACGTCGTCACAGGTTGATATATTCGTCCATATCAACCGCTGATGACGTCATGACAGGTTGATATTTCATATCAACCGCTAATGACGTCATCTCAGGTCGATATATTCAGCTCATATCAACCACTGATGATATAGAAGATCGAAATAAAACAAAAAAACACAGAAATAAATTTTTATTCTTTTGACAATTAAAAAATGTTATGGTACAGTTTGTAACATTCCGGGCCGAAATAGACGGCGTACTTATCGGCATATTTAAATCGATTATCCATACTCAATGTCTAAGATATCTTCCAGAATTTTCTTTCCGTCCACACACTCCTAGACTTGAAATTATTTATCGCTCAAGAGTTCCTTTATAAAGTATTTTATAACAGTCGGTCAAATCCTTCTCTGAACATACCAAAAACCTTCAATCATGGTTCACTGTCTGAATTCTTGGAAAAGAATGCCTTTTGGTCCAAATTTTCTGCAGGCTTTGGATAGATCCTCGTCGATATTTGCATTCACATCTATTCCATCGTCAATATGTTGGCTAAAAAGGATTATTTTTTCGTCTGACTTCGTATTACTATCCATTTTGTTTTTGCTTTCAATTCAATAGTCCAAAATGGCGACGTATAAACATAAACATGCACGTAATTGCACGTGATTACTTCGGTAATTTTCGCTATTTGGCGGAAACTATCGAGCAATTATCCAATCGTTGTTGCCTTTTAATGGAAGAGCCCATTAAATTTAAGGGTGAAATGGCGTTGTATATGTCGGATATAAACCTACTCTCCCTCGCGTTCTCTACCATATCAACCTCGGGTAGGTTAATATCCTATACGTAAACTGTCAAACTGTAATTGATGCATTATATCTTACCTGGCTATTAATCTAAAATCACATTCATACGTCCACTCGATTAAAACTATGTCACTTCGGGAGTAACAAATGGTTCGATTTTATTTCATTAAACCGTTTGGGCGTAGAGGTCTTTAGAAGTGAGAGGAAACCAAAGAACCCGGAGAAACCCCACGAGGCTTGAAAAGCGATCCTACTCTTGGTCACGTACAAGCAGAAAATCGAAACCACATCATTTGACTCAATGCCAGACTATGATTTAACGTGCACTCGTTAAACCATTCCCCCAAAACGCCCATAAGAAATTATACCATAAATGTACATTGGGGAATTCAAACTGCACCAGGTTTCGCTTCCATTATCAACATTATTATCATTATAGTACAAAGGAAAGAAAGAGAGAGAGAAATTGGGTTTAACGTCAACTCGACATATTACTAGGTCATTTCGTTAGTAACATATGGTTTAATTTTATTTCAATAATTCACTTGCGCGTAGGGGTCTTTAGCAGTGGGAGGAAACCGGAGGACCCGGAGAAAGACCCTACTCCTTGTCACGTACAACCAGGGAATCGAAATCACGCCAGTTGACTCAAAGTACAAAGGAAACAAAGACGGTGGGTTATGGGTTTATACATACGGATTTCGTTGAATATTAACATCACTATAATCACATTTAAATTTTCGAGACGTTTTGTTGCTGATTTAACAGTTCCATCTTTGACCGATCGATCATTGAAATCAAAGGAAAGTCATGTTTATTAAAATGGTCATTACCTTCTCGGCACTAATATTAAATGAAATGACATCAACGTGAAAGTGTCTTTAGCTTAGATATTAAATAAAGTCCATCACCCACATATTAGAATTGAGTATGCTATTCATTTCAGACAGAAACTCTAAATATGAACTATACTGTCTTGGAATTTTGATTATACCTGCATAGGTGTTAGCCGTAGGGTTCCTGGCAAATCCATCCATGTCTATTACCTCGAGGGTTAATTCCAACATTGTCAGCTCATCCGACCCAGTACAAAGTCCAAGAAACTTCGATAGCATATCTGGGTTCATCTAACGAATGAGTTTCTTTAAATAATCCAGGATGAATTGGTCTTTTGGCAAAACTTCACCCCGTAGTATCGAAAGGACACTTTTCGTCTTCGGTATAAGTTTCACATATATATCTGACATGATATCCATTTTCAGTGACGAATGTCTAATATATTTAGGAGTTTGCAGGAGTTCCTTGTGTGTAATTTTCAACAGCACACTCTTTATATTTTTCTCATTTATTTTTCGTTTACATTAAAGATCTTCTAAGACATCTAATAGGTCATCTACATCTTCGCCTTCTGGAAACTTGCACATTGCCATCTTTACCACCTTCCTTTGCAGTCGCCAGAATAAACTGTAAGAAAGATTCTATTAAGTCACTTCTAACCTCGTTGAGAAAGATGTATTCAAAAATTACATGAGATAACTTTATAGAGAGGTAACCACTATCCCACCATCAAATTACCAATATTCTTGCGACGGATTTCCATTTACCTTCACCGAAATCATGCCTTAGCTGTGGTATTTTGTGAACATCGCTGACAGTGCACTTTTCATAAAAGTCACTCCAGAATTCGGCCAGGCAATCCCGCAAAACACCACCCATGTCATCTCTGACTTCCCCGTGTCCGTTCTGTAACACACGTTTTATCATGTGGGGTTGATGCATGATGGATTCGTGTTCGAATGCCTTTATCATCTCATCAAACGCGTTGCCCCGATGTATGTAGAGAACAGTCTTATCGTAATATTCATCATCTGTGTAAATCACATCTGCTCTTTCCCTGTTCGAACGGCTTAATGTTCGTTCGTATTCTCATGTGAAAATTCTTTCACATACTCGCTGGGATTGTCAAGTGAGGTGTCGTTATTCTGATAATATCTTCACTCGTCCTGTCAGTAGACAAGTCTGCTGTGGTAACTTTTGCTGAGGGATGTGATTTTGTAGCCAAATAAAATCTAAGAATACCCAACTTTGTTTTTTCATACAAATAGCCTACATCCCCTACGAGATCTTTTTCTTCAAAATTTCTAATAGAGCATTCAAAAGAACTCCAAGTTGAGATTTCCCATCAGGGAAGAATAAATCTTTTGCTTACAAGATAATTTCTTCTTTCATGGCAGTTTTGTCAATCTTTATTTTTCTTGTTTCTCCACATCTCGGTTTCCTCACTTGTTTGTATCCATGTCCACTTATCCAATTTAACCAACCAATTTCAATGACTCTTGTTTCTTTTTTGGCGTTTGAACTTCCAAACAGCTTTATTTTCCTATCTGATGACTTTTCGACGTCTCCATCTGAATCTGATGATGCTGCCCTTTTCATATTTATTTTTGTTCGAAGTCGATTTAGAATGAATGATTTTCCGATGACGATTTTCTTGTAACAAAGTGTTTCAGAGCAATCCTATCTCCAAACGATGCAAAATACACTTTAAGTTGATCATCGTCCATTAATGCCAAACCGCTTCCATCGATCTGAAGAAAAAAAATCCAACTATATTTTATGTTAGACAACTAATCGACGATCATAAAATGGCAGAGAAACTGGAGCGCTAGAAGTGTAGAAAAGGCCCTTCAGAACCGGTTCCAAGCTGAACACATTATAGAATCCAGGTAGAACGACGGACAAGTATGACGGACAAAATTCTTCTTTCGTGGGAATGGTGCCACAATTTACCTATATAAAAAGTACCCCTCAGAAGAGAATATCACTTGGTTTTTGCACTTTAGAACGCCCCCCTAGTGACTCCGATAAACATGTTTATTTCAAATATGACCGACAACTTTGATTCCTTTTTCATCTGATAGGCCCCAAAGTATTTTTAACACATTGCTACGATAGATGCATAACGAAGATTTCAAGAAATGGAAGTGAAAAAAGGAAAACACGAGTTATCCTTCTACAAAACTGACTGAAGTTATCGCTCGTTACTTTAGTCAGTTTTAAATAATGTTTGTGGGGAAATTTGGGGACCTTTACACCATACGCTTCCGGCCCGCCCTATCTTAACCCAACCCAGAACTAAACAATACAACAGCAACGGCGTGGAATGAGTTCGCCATACATTGGGTCAAATGACCACGGGTATCACCCTGTACATTTGATCTGTAATATTAACATGCAAATAGAAAATTATTACTGGTGTAGTTCATTTATGGAATGGTTGCTGTGAATTCGATCCGATTATTGGACTTTTTGATTTTTA